GACACACATGTGCAAATACTGAATTGTTTATCCGGTGTGAAAAATGAAAAGTGTAAATAAGGTTCAAATGGTATAACTGATAATGTGAAATAGGAAGAAAAGGTCTAAAGGAGTAGGGGAAGTGGAAAGGGTAGGGGAAGGGAAATAAGGGAAAAGAAAAAAATATGAAAAAAGGGGAAAATGGTTACAAAGTCTTTGTAAATAGGGAAGAGTGAAAGGGGAGAAGGGAGGACAGGGGAATGGGGAAAAATATGCACCAAGATACATCCTATAAAGGCACAAGACCAATAAACTTAATGGAAAAAAAAAAAAGAAAAACAAGTCATTTTCATTGAAGTATTGTGACAATGTGATGTCTGACTATAGGTATTCTTTGTTTAATGACCCACCTGTTTACTTTTTTTTTCCCAGTACCTGGGACTGAACTCTGGTCACTGTGCTTGGGAGTCAGGTGCAGCCCAATGACCCACCTGTTTAAATAGTGTTTGGATTTATGATCAAGGGATACTGTTTAGACTTACAACCCATCTTTTTCTACCTTTTTTGGGTACATTTCTATACATCTTGATAGAGCCTCAACGTCTTTTTCTTTTGGACAGTATACATTATTTATTCAGTACTGTAATTTTTGCTGGATGTGATATACTTTACAGTACTATAGTTTTATGTTCAGTTATACATTACAGCACTGAATGTAAGAGTTATGCAAAGTCATCAGGTCGGACTTTTGTTTTTTGGGTTTTTTTGGTACTGGGGATTGAACTTGGGTCCTTGTGCTTGTGAGGCAGGTGGCAGAACCACTAAGCTAAATCCCCGGCCCTGGACTTTTAACTATTTCTTTTTTCTGAATATTGTAATGTACATACTATATACAATTCCTCATTTAGTGACCAATTCATTAAATGACCTAGACACAGGACTAGAACTTCTTTATTATACAAGGAATGTCTGTACAGCTGTTTCTCATATTCAAGGAAGATAGGTACCAAAAATAAATAAATAAATGAATAAATAAATAAAATAGTGAAAATCTAGAGGCAATCTAAATACTAAATAGTTAAATGGAATTTGGTATGCCTAACAATGTTATGTAGACATCAAAAGGTTGATCATGAAAGTCATTCAGCAACAAGGAATGTTAGATTAGAAAAAATATGCATAAATAAACAAAGAAAAAAATATGCAAAATTAACTTATGACAACTATGTTAAAAATAGTAAAATGAAGGAATAGCTTTCAAAACATCATGTTGTATACCACAAATATATTCAATTTGCACTGGTAAGTTAAAAATAGGTAAATAAGCCGGGGATTTAGCGCAGTGGTTCGGTGGCCTGCCTTGCAAGCGCAAGGACCCGAGTTCAATCCCCGGTACCAAAAAAAAAAAAAAAAAAAAAAAAAAAAGGTAAATAAAAAAGGAAATATACTACATTGCTACCTGTGGTGTAAAAAGTATGGAACTATTGTATTTTCTAATTTTATGTAAAAATATAATTTCAAAAGCTAGGCTGTAAACTAGGCGCAGGTTTCCAGTCAGGCTGAAAAATAAGAGGACAGGTAACAAAAGGCTGACTGGGTCACTGGCAATCCAATCACAGGAATCTGTGTGTAGGCTCCAGTTACCCATCAACTGAATATCTGGATGAGTACACTGCTCTCCATTGGGATCTTCTGGGTTTTTTTTTTTTATGTTTTCCTTCCCAGTCCTATGTTCTGTTTCACAGCACAAAACAGAAGGTAAAGAGTTAATATACATGTATAGCTCTTTCCTTATTTTATTAAATAGACTATATATTTTAACATTTATCTTTCATAAGGTACTTTTCACTTATACTGCTAATGTCTAACTAGTACCAATCATGTTTTCCAGATGACTAATACTTTTGTTGGCATCTATAATGGAAGAAAATATTTGGTCACCAGAATGTGTATTTCTGCTTCATGTTCCTCACCCAGCTGTCAGTGTGAAGAGATACAATTCTCATTAAATTACTTCAGTGTTATTTATAAGTAGGCTAAATAAACAATGGGGCCTCATTAAGCTATTCTGTACCTAAGTAACTTTTATTTATAGTATTAGCAGATCTTCCACAAAATATAATCTCTCAGCTAAAAGAGAGAAGACACCAGCTCCGTGAGACTGCATGGATGAAAGAAAAATAGGATGAGATGCAAAATGTCCCCTTCAAGAGGTTATTGTAAGACTCAAAGTCTCATTTCCACTCCATGGAGGGTGAACAGCCGAAAAGGCCTCCATGATGCTGGGTCCTAAAACCCAGCGAGGCTCCGGGAGTTCGATGGAGGAGCGAGAGTCACCCAGGAACGAACACACCAGGCTAGATGGTAAACAGATCCTTATGAGTCTGGCCAGATGGCACTCTCAGAACCAAGTAGCTGGCTCAGAGAAGCGCCAGCTCAGGGGCTGAGGTCCTTTTTATAGGGAGGTAAAAAAGGGAGGTTAACATTTTAAGCTTGCAGCCAGGGGACAAAGTTCTGCTGACTTGAGCTGGTGGTCAGCAGTCACGTACTTGGCAATCACACATTGATGAGTAACAGATACCTATAGGATGTTTCAAAGGTCACCAAGACATTCCGGATGAGCAAACAGTTTGACCATTAACTTGGGGTCTCTATGTATCTCCTAGTCGAGAACCACTAACTTACACGTTAATCAGGATCCCAACTTCAAACAATACAAGATTGCCTTACAGTCCTAAGCCAAGGTTTGACAAAGGTTGGGGCTATGGCTACAATGGGAGGGGGTTAGAGCACTGTCTCCTAGGCCCTTTGTCATTTAGCATGGGCTTGTAATTTAGGTCTTACATTATGACACACCTTTACATGAGCTAATGATGTCCACTGACCACAAGCCACATTTCGTTCCTTCTCCTTCACACTCAGGAGTCCTTCTTCTCTCTGGTTAAAATTCTTCAAGAAGTATCTCAAGTGACACTTGCTTCCTGGGGCAAACTTCTTTCCTATCCTTTTAGCTAGTACTGAGCTTTTCTGGTAATATTACACAGAACCGAGAGATTTTGAAGTTGGAGGAGAATTTGGAGGCATTTAACATTATATTCTCTCAGAAACTCAGAGAGAAGTAACTTTTTCCAATGTGTGTAGATGAGTTAGAAGTAAGCAATTTCAAGTTTGTTCCAATTAAGTACAGCCACATAACTGTCACTTATCACCAAGATCTATAAAGGTCTGTCCACTCTCCTAGCTTGTAAACTCTTTGAGCAGAGAGACCAAGACTTGTTTATCTTTGATGTGACCAGGAAGTAAGTACAAAGTCAGGTGATACATGTCCCCTCTGGTGATTAGTCAGAAAAGATGCAAGCCCTAGGACCAAGGGTTTGACTGGCTGGAAACAGTGTTGCTGTAGGACCCAAAGGCAATTTTGTGTCTAGAATTTGTTGCTATGGTATCACAAATGGCACCACAGAGCAACCTGAAGCAGATTAAGATTATGACTACTAAAAGATGCAATGGGGAGAGATGCAACACGGAGCAACTTTGTTCTAATAAAAACAGAGTTAAGTCCTTTAACTCCAAAGTCAAGTAGATAATGCCCGCCCCTCCCCCCGCTGGATTTCTGTAATAGTGGAATAAAAAATAAACCTTTCATAGATTACTTTTCCTCAAAGTGTACACCCCCATGGAATCCTTAAATGTGCAAGTATATTCCCTTTAGAAAGCAGAATGATACACAAAAAAAATTTACAAAACTTTCAGGAATGTTTTAAAATTGGCTAAGTTCTCTAGGAAAAATGCTTTATAGCTGAAGGATAAAAGCATTACATAGGCATTATAGATACAATGAGAACTTGGGAGAGTAGAATTAGCTTTTTAAATTCGCTATGATTCCACCTACCCACTCGAACATTTATTCATTTCTTCCTTCAACAAATATTCATCAAGTACCTACTATGCACAAGATATTTTGGTGTATGGGGCAGTGAACAAGGCAGATAATAATTACATTCTAGAGGGGAAGACAGACAATAAAACAAGGAGCAAAAGTACAAACTGATAATTATCATTAAGGAAATAAACAAGATGACAAAGAGTAATGGGTAGGGAGGTGGTAGGGTTTATTTTAGTCAACTAGTACAAAACATATACTTTCCTATGTAATATCAGGGAAATTACTGAATTTTTCTGGTACTCAGATCTCCAACATGACAAACTAAAGTTCAACTAAATGACATCAGAGTGGAAAAAACCCTAGATGTGAAGTAAGAAAACTCAAGCTTGTGTCCTGCCCTTGTCTGTCAAACCCCACCTGCAGTGTCTCTTTGTGAATAGAGTACAAGAGCCCTTGGAAACTGAAGTCACCTTTGGACTCAGCCTACACCACACACTTCTTTAAATTTTTATTTTTATTTTTATTTTTATTTTTATTTTTATTTTTATTTTTTAAGATGGGTCTCATTATGTGCTCACAAATTCTTGGGCTCCACTGATCCTCTCGCCCTAGCATGAATAGTTGGGACTCTTGGTACATTATACTGTAGCTGGCTAACACTTGACTTTTTTATAACTCTCTGGATGTTTATATTCATTTTCACTAGACAAGACCTCTGAGGATTCTAGAAACACTTGAATAAGTTTTCTATTCTATTACTTTTAGACAAGAAGCATATTTACTTTATGAATGGAATTATGAGTTTGGTAGACAGGCACTGAGAACCCAGTTAATGATAATGTATTCTTCATGGCACATTAAATAACCCCCACTGTAGCTCAGTGCTAAAGCCCTTTACCTGTATATGTGGGGCCCTGGGTTCACTGTCCACCCTGCAGGAGAACAAAACAAAACCTAGCAAACTGGCTTTATCCCCTCTCTTCTTTTTCTGCACTGTTTAAGGGATGGGATGAAGAAGAAAACCAAACCACCAGCAAACCATTATCTTTTCTTCAAATTTTAGCTAACTATGCGTAGAGTCAAAGAATAGCATCCTTCAGTAAAAGCACATCATATCCAAGAAAAGAAGCCATACCGAGTGCAGAGTGCCATTGCTGGTCGCTGTGGGAGGGCGGGCCCACCGCTCATTTTCCAGTTCTTCCATTACTTGGTTCATGGCACTCTTTAGCCATGTGTCCACAGAAACACCAATCTGCTTTAGCAGGTCCAGCCGGGCTTCCGCTTTCAACTTAATTATCTAAGAAAACCAAAATAATGGTCAAATCAAGCCCATTTTCCCCCACATTTATTAAGGTATTCCCCAATTATTAATCAGAATGATCTTGATATTCACCCGCAAGTCTTCCTTGGCATAGATGCTAATTTTTCTTCTGTAGAGAAGAGAGGGGAGGGAGAAGGACAGGACATGAATAAAGAACAGGAGTCTCAGCCTCCTGATAATGGCAAATAGTATACTTATATTGCCCTCTCATTCACTTGCTCATTCCTTTGTTTAATCTCAGGGTGGGGTGATGGAGACTGAACCCAAGGCGTCATGCATGTTAAGAACACATTGCACCACTAAGCTCCAATTAGTCCCTTAGCTCCTCTGTATCTTGACAAAAGCATAGTATTGAGGGGCAACCCACTTTCTGGTCCCCTTTCTGTCTCTTTATTCATTCGTTTGTTCGTTCGTTCGTTTGTGTGTGTATGTATGTATGTATGTATTTTTTGAGACAGAGTCTCACTGTGTAGTTGAGACTGCCCTGGAACTCACTATGTAGCCCAGGCTGGTCTCTAATTTATAGTGATCCTCCTGCCTCAGCCTCCTGGATGCTGGGATTATAGGCATGCACCACCACGCCCGTATTTACATAGAAGATTTTTCCCTCAGTAAATTTTTGCTATTCTTAAAAAAAAAAAAAGCATAGTATTGAAAGCACAGTATTGATGACACATCAAACATAAGTTAGGAACATGAAGAGATTAATGTGGCATAAAATCCTGTTAATAAAGCTATGCCTCAGAATATCTTGAAATATGACATTTTTCAGTAGCCCTCTAACCCAATGCTTGAGCCTTTTCTTTCTTCTATAATTCATATATATATATATGTATATATGTATATATAAAATCCATATATATTATTATATAATCCACATATATTTATTATTATTGTTATTATTATTATTGCTATTATTCTTTTAGTACCAGGGATCAAACTCAGGACCTTACACTTGCCAGGCAGGTGCAGTGCCACTGAGCTAAATCCCTGGCCTGATAATCCATATTTTATAGTCCATTAATGATATCATGTCATTTACCTGCTTAAAAACTTCCATGACTCCAGACTACCTAGTACAGAATTAACTCATTTTTCACCTGGAGTAAAATAACCATCACAATTTGACTGGATTATTTTCTTCTATTTCTTTCTACATGCCCTATGCTTTCACAGTACTATACACTGGTCTTCTAACACTGTGCTCTCATGCCTTTGTGCATACCAGCCCTTCTGTGCACAACTCCCTCCCTGACCTGGTTCTAGGAATTGAATCCAGGGCCTTTGCATGGAGCTATATACCCCAACCCTTAAAAATTTTTTTTGTTGGGGCCGGGGATTTAGCTCAGTGGTTCTGCTGCCTGCCTCCCAAGCACAAGGACCCGAGTTCGATCTCTGGTATAAAAAATTTTTTTTGTTGGAACCAGGCATGATGACACACAATAATAATCCCAGCACTTTGGGGGCTAAGGCAGGAGGATGCCGTAAATTCAGGGCCAGCCTGGGTTACATAACAAGACACTGACTCAAAAACTCAAATTTTATACTTTTAATTTTGAAACAGGGTCTCATTAAATAGCTAAATTGCCCAGGCTGGACTCAAACTTGTGATCTTGCTGCCTCTACCTCCCAGTGTGCTGGAATTATAGCGTATGCCACCATACCTGGCTCTCTTAAGTTTATCTTTTTTTTTTGGTACTGGGGATCAACTCAGGACCTTGTGTTGTGAGGCAGGCAGCAGCACCACTGAGATAAATCCCTGGCCCTTAAATTTATCTTTTAACAGGCTCCAACTTTTTCTTTTGTATATGAATATCAAATTGTCCAGTTACCATTCTAGTATGCATTTTAAAGCAATGAAATGCTAAAACAAAGAAAAGGGGAACCAAGAAGCTCTTTTTTGGAAATCATAAATGTAAGAAACTTAACTGCTGAAGCAGGGAAACAAAGAAATAAAAGTTTTCAGTATATTTTCTTTTCTTTCTTTCTTTCTTTTTTTTTTTTTTTTTTTTTATTCGGGGGATGGAACTCAGGTCCTTGTGCTTGTGAAGCAGGCGGTGGAACCACTGAGCTAAATCCCCAGCCCCTGTATATTTTATTTTCTCAACACCGAGTAATCTAGTTTTCATAAGATTTACTTTTGCCAGTACTTTACCAAACAACTTATGAACACAGTATCTTCAAATTTAGATTTCAGTTCCAGAATTAAACACTGCTATCTTCTACTAGATACAAGTACAGTGTATATATTTTGGTTTCTGTCCATGGGGTTCCCAGCTTGTGAGTTCCATAGCTTTGTGAGTAGAACAATACGCCTATCTTTTGTTAAATACTTTAGCCTCTTGTCCTTAGTTTTTTAAAGCAATTCTGGAAGAGCTCCAGTATAATAAAAGTAAAAGACAATTGTTTGTTATAATATTGGGATTCTTTAGGCCTCATAAGGCAAAGTATCTTTTTACTTGCTCCCTTTTCTCTCCAAATTAGGACATAGAAATTAGAATCCCCCCCATCTTTTTTTTTGAGACAGGGTCTCACTATGTAGTAGAGACTGACCTGGAACTCACTATGTAGCCCAGGCTGGTCTCAAACTCACAGCTATCCTTCTGCCTCAGCCTCCCGAGTGCTGGGATTACAGGCATGCGCCACCACACCCACCTAGAATTTCTCTCTTCCTTAAAGCAGGTCATAAAAAGTAAACTCTAATTTTTCCTGTCTTAGAACTAGTCACAAAAAAGTTCTCTGATCTACACTATCTCCTAGTAGATCAACCTCCATTTCAGAGGAGGTTTGGGCCCATAACCAGGAGGAAAGAACGCTGTATAAAAAGGCCAAGATGTGTCTGAATACATAGGCCCGGCTGGGTTTTCCCACTCAGGCTATAAGCATTACTCACATCCTTTTTTCTCCAATCACATTTCTGTATGTTGTCTGTGCTTTAATCACGTCTATGCAATGTAGTCATCATACAATCCCAATGGACAGGCTCGGAGAACTTCTGGACAGCTTGTACGTATGAAGTGTTGCAGAAAGGGACCATAAACTCATCCATGTGCTGGGAGAGTGGCACACTCCACCCTCCCAACCTCATCTTATGTATTGTCTTACTTTGGCTGTTTATTTGTATACTTTTAGATGAAGTAACATGGTAAATTTAAGTATTTCTCTGAGTTCTGTGAACTGCCCGAGCAAATTAATTGAGCCCAAGGAGGAGTTGTGGCAACCCCAATTTATAACCTGTTATTAGTTCTGAGGCTTGGATCTGTGACTAATGTCTTAACAGGAAGTATGAGGGACTAAGCCCTCAACCTGTGGAGTCTGACAGCATCTCCAGGTACACAGAGTCAGAAATGAACTGAATTAGAGGACATTTCATTGATATTCAGTGCAGAACTGATTGCTTGCTTGCTGGTGGGGAGAAATCCTTATACATTTTTGGGATCACAGAAATGATACATGTCAATACAGAATAGGGGGAAGTAAGTTTGGTTTGTTTTTCTTAAAATCCTTAGAGGTTTCAATTTTTTCTTTTCTCTCTCTCTTTTTTTTTTGGAGGCAGGGCCTCACTATGTAGTCCAGACTGGTCTCACACTTGTCATATTCCTGCCTCAGCTCCCCAAGTGGTAGGATTACAGGTATGTGACAATATTTTTAAAAATGTTCGTGTAGAATTTTCCAATGTTTTCAAATGAATTTTGATGACGTCCCAACTGACAAAAAGTTTTCAAAACACAGCTTTTTGTAAACTTGATGGCAATCCAGATACTATATAACCAAATCATTTTCTGAACCTTAGAGTTTCTAAAATAATATTTTAAAATTCCAGGTCCTATAGGATACATAATGATGATATATTAGCACAATAAATTACCTTGATTTGAACATACTATAGTTCAAGCCGTAGTTGAGTTTGTCAAACTTTTTCAGTTTCAAAGTCTAACTTTGGCTAATTTTATTTGCCTTCAAAAAACATGTCTCCAAGGACAGGTCTCTATCTAATAATACAATTATATTATTTAGGATAGAACCTCATTTACAGTAGGGAATCAATAATGATAATTAACAGTGTTTGCCATTCTATCTTTGGTATCCTTTTTTTTTAACTAACCAAGGCCCAGGCTGGCCTTGAACTTGGGGTGATCCTCTTGCCTCAGCCTCTCAAATGCTGGGATTGCAGGTATGTACCACCAAGCCCAGCTATTTTTGATATTTTTAAAAAATTCCAAATATTTTATCAAATGTACTAGAAACTATATGATTATATCTTTCATTTAATTCACAAAAACAATTTTGTGGGTGTTTCATGAACTCCCTTTTACAGAGGAAAAGAAGAATTTATACAATTGGGATAAAGTGTAAAACTGATGGTCCCCAATCATTCATGCCTTCTGGTACTCAAGTAGTCCCCTTCCTCATTAACTTTGGGCTTGTCCTTGCGATTGGGCTGGGCCAAAGAGACACCTATTTGATGGGAGCAGAGTACTACCCATAAGGGCTACAAGAACTTGACTTTATAGGATGTGCCACCAACATGTGGGGTAGCCCATTTGAACTTATTTGGGATGAAAAGCTACATGTGAAAGGTTCCTCCTCAGTTTATCCCTTCACAGCTTACCCAATCCTCTGGCTAAACGTAGCTGTACAAAATTGGTAAAAGATGTGCATAGTGAATATCCAGAATAATGAAAGACACTAAAACATTGTTGCCTTTGCCATAAAGTTTAGGGTGTTTAAAAAAAAATTTTTTTTTCTGGTACCACGGATTGAACTCATGACTTTGTCCTTGTGAGGCAGGCAAGGCAATTAAGCTAAATCCCTGGCAGTTTTTTTTTTTTTTTTTTTTTTAACAAGCAACAACAGATTACTGTTTGAATAATTTAATTTCTAGATACTTGGGTATTTTTAAGGTATTTATTATTAACATTTTTTTCTGATTGGTCAGTGAATCTACTCTTTATATCAATCTTTATAAACTTACT